TCAAAAATTGTATTAATAGGGCTATCATTTACCCACGCGGTGCTTCTTTATATATTTCCTGTCTTTAAACTTAAAACCAATGTTTTTCTTCCAAATTTCTGTTTTCCAAACAAGTAAAGTACCCTTGTAGTTTAATTTCTGCCGTTCTTTAAAAAATTTAATAAATAAAAAAGAATCAACTTCCCCTAACCTGCTATTTTGCCATCTACGCTTTTCTTTGGTTTTTTGTCTTAAAAAACCTAAACCTGGGCCAGGCACTGTGGCACATGCCTATAAACCTAGCACTTTAGGAAGGTGAGGCAAGAGGATCACATGAGAGACCAGGAGTTAGAGACCAGCCTGAACAATATAGTGAGACCCTGACTTCACAAAAAAACAAAAAAAATTAAGCCAGGCACAGTGGCTCACATCTGAAATCCCAGCACTCTGGGAGGCCAAGGCAGGAGGATCACCTGAGATGAAGTGTTCAAGACCAGCCTGAACAAGTGTGAGACATCCATCTTTACCAAAATAGAAAACATTAGCCAAGTGTGGTGACACAGACTTGTAGTCCCAGCTACTTGGGAGGCTGGGGTAGGAGGATGGTTTGAGCATAGGAGTGTGAGGCTACAATGAGCTATGATGATGTCACTGCACTCTGACTGGAGTGACAGAGTGAGACTCTATCTCAAAAAAAAAATAGAAAAAAGAAAAAATTAGCCAGGCATGGTGATACACGCCATGCAAGTGTGGGCCTATAGTCTCAGCTACTCAGGAGGCTGAGGCAGGAAGATCACTTGAGCCCAGGAGTTTGAGGTTGTAGTGAGTTAAAATGATGCCACTGCAATCTAGCCTAAGCAAGAGAGCGAGACTCAATCTCCAAAAAAAAAGCCACAATGCAATTTTCAGTCTGTTTAAATCTCACTTAATTGTAAAGTATTTTGCAAGGACTCTATTACTAATACCAGTAAAAACATCAAATTTTTTTTAACTGATTCTCTCTAAAATAGGTATAAAGCCATTCTTCCCTGCATTTGGGTTTTTTGGGGTTTGTTTTTGATGGTTCTTTTGTTTTTGAGATACAGTCTCACTCCATTACCTGGGCTAGAGTGCAGTGGCATCATCAGAGCTCACTGTAGCCTCAAACTCCTGGGATCTTTGATCAGTCTGCCTCAACCTCCTGAGTAGCTGGGACTATAGGCCTATACTACCATGCCTGGCAAATTTTTCTATTTTGTTTAGAGATGGGGTCTCATTATACTGTTCAGTCTGGTCTCAAACTCCTAGCCTCAAGTGATCCTCCCACTTGAGCCTCCCAAAATACTAGGATTATAGGCATGAGCTACCACAGGCAGCCTCTATGGGTTTTCTTGAATGGGAGAGTTGTCTCCACACGTTCATGAGAACTATAGTATTTTAAAGTTATGCATGTCTAGGCATAAGAAAAGGTGGAGAACTGTCACAGGACATAAGTTATAGACTTATTAGGGACTCTATAGTGCTAACCCTCCCATAAATGACATTACTTTGCATATATGAAATCTGCTCAACTGTTTCAGTATTTTCCCTATATGAAAAAAATGGCTTTATGTCAGTGTATTATAAGAAATTGGTTCAATCTTTAAAAATAATTACTTAGGCAAACATGTCTTTGCGTTAAAATTTCAAATCCAAAGTACATGTCTTCAAAGTGTCTTATTATTACAATATAGTATACTTTTGTAGAAATAATATCTTCAGGGTGGAGAAACACTAACTTCACAGCTAAATTTTAAGTTTTACCTGTCTACAAGAATTTGATTGGTTTTTTTCCAGTCTTCAACTGCAGAAATTTCTTTTGCCTCCAGCTTCTGTTTCAAGCTACTTATTTCTGCTTCATAATAAGCTCGAAGATCTGCTATGTGTCGGGCATGCTTTTCCTTCAGATTCTGCCTAATCCTATTGGTGAGAAATAAAAATTATATATTTTAGTAAAGTATATCCTTTCTATCTATCCCGTAACAGAAACCAAGATCACAATAATTCTAATAAAAAAATAGTGTATTTCCTTTGCACACCTACAAAATACATAAAAGATAAATACACAAAAAGTTGGCAAGATTTTTATATGCTCTCTTAAAAATGCTATCTCTAAGATTTTATACATTATTGAAATTCAATGAAAATCACTTCATCATTCAGACATCACAGAAAATCTATTTACATTACAAGCTATTCATTGAAATACATACTTGGACAGTATCACAGGGTCTTCCACGGAAGTCAATGAAATGCAGTCTGGGACCCCACCGGCTGTACCTGGAAGCTGGGACGGACTGACAGAGGCTGAAGCTACCATGACAGTGTTTTCTTCATCTACAGTGTTGACGGAGACATCATTACTGGTGATAGTATATACAGAAGGAAACGTGGAGCTGGTCCTGCTTTCGTTTTGGAATGCATGACTTTTCCAGGAGTCCATCAGGGAGGCTTTTGTATTTGTAGGATATTTGGGGAATCCAGATAACTGAGAAGCAACATTACTTGCTTGTGAAAATGAGTCTATGTCAGAGTGACTAGACATACTAGGTTCTAGAACAGAGTCTGGTGAAAAGGATATTCTGTCATCAAGGGCATTCAAAAAGTCATGTGGCTGAATCCCTGAAATCTGCTGATTTGGCTTCATATGTAACGAGTGATCTAGAGTCAGTACCTGGAAACCAGACAGACAACAGTAAGGTCTTTCCCTTAGGACTTGTTTTTTGTCCTTTTTTTTAAATGAGTAGGCTTTAGGTCTCCTAGAGAAAATAAAGCTTAACAGAAGTTAGAGTCAAGAAGCATCGTTCATTTTCATTCAGCACATTGTTCACAACTTTACCTCTGGAGGATGATTTGGGTTGGAAGCAGGAGTGAGATTCCTCTCAGGTAACTGCTTGTTTTCCCTTTGTTTTTTATGATAAATATCCTTCAGTGATGGTAGCTTCATCTCATTACTAGTATTAGGCTTTAAAATATAAAACAAAATTATTTAAATGGTATTATCAACAATGAAAAAAGTTGACTGGTATCAAAATCACCATAAAAATATTTTTGAGACATTTTAAACAAACTGAAAATCTAGATTGTCAGATTTAACAACTCAACTTTGGAAGTCATTGCCTATTATTAAGAGTCTCCCTCAGAATGAAATCACTTTCCTATCTCCTAAAATGAATATTAAAGGGATAATTTCAACTTAATTATTAATATTTAGCAGCCTATGAAGACTTGTAAAGAATAAAATCATTGGTAGTCTCCCCAACTCAGAATAAAAACCAAGCTTTGAGGTAAGAAGACTTCATAATGAATGACTGAGGCAGGATGAGAAAATTCTGGACAAATTAATGTCATGTGACTCTGGAATAAGTATCAAAAGTTCCTCATTGATGTAGTGATAGACATGTTTTTTTTAAAAGAGTTGGCAGGAATAAAGGTGTTAAAAAGATACCCAGGCCAGGCGCGGTGGCTCATGCCTGTAATCCCAGCACTCTGCGCAGCACACACCGAGCGGCGAAGGATCGCTCACAGGTCGAGGAGTCTCGATGACAGCCACTGAGCAAGCGCGAGACCCGCTCTCCTACTAACAAAAATAGGAAACGAAATTTCATCTGGCACAACTAAAAGATATATATACCCACCAGAAGAATCTTTAGCCGGGCCTGCGGGGGTGCGGCGCAAGTGCCTGTGGTCCAGCTACTCCGGCGAGGGCGCTGAGGCCGCGAGGCGATTGCTTGAGCCCAAGTTGGAGGTTGCGTGTGAGCGGAGGCTTGATGCACGGCCACTGCTCACTCTAGTCGGGCGCAACAAGAGTGAGCTCTGTGGTCAAAACAAAAAAGAACAAAAAAAAGCATACGCCAATGGAAAACTACGCCTTTTATTCATAAGTAAAATAGAAACTATGACCCTCTTTTTTTTTTCCTCCCAGAGCAAGGTCTCACTCTGTTGCCCCAGGCTGGGAGGACAGTGTGTGATCATCCCCACACTTTACTGCAGACTGCAAACTTCTGGCTCATAGCGACTGACTCTTGCCTATGGCCTACTGATAGTAGTCGGCCACAGCACAGTGTCCTACACCACAGCTAACTTTTTAGAATTATTCGTCTGTAGAGTATGGGAGTCCTGCTATGTTGCTCAGTTTGGGGTCTACCAACCCTGTAGGCTCAAGCAGTCCTCCCCTCAGCCCCCCAAAGTGCTGGATCCACAGGTGTGGAGCCACAATTTATTCTCAAACCGAAACTCTGAATCCTGTAATCGCACTATGGCGAGGCCAAGGCGGATAGATCGCTCCAGTCAGGAGTTCGAAACCAGCTGAGCAAGAGCGAGACCCGCGTTTCCACGAAAAATAGAAAACAATAATGCTCGGCCAACTAAAATATTTAGAAAAAATTAGCCGGCATGGTGGTGCATGTCTGTAGTCCCAGCCACTCGGGAGCGCTGAGCAGAGGATGCTTGAGCCCAGGATCTGCTGAGGTTGCTGTGAGCTAGGCTGATGCCACAGCATCTCAACCCAGGCAACAGAGTGAGGACTCCTGTCTACAAAAACAACCAAACAAAAAAGTCTCAAAATCAGGGCTTTTCTACACTAGAAATGTAAAGAGGTCAAAGCTCCAAACATATATCTTGGGGTTTGCTGGGCACAGTGGCTCATGCCTGTAATCCTAGCACTCTGGAAGGCTGAGGTGGGAAACTTGCTTAAGGTCAGGAGTTTGAGACCAGCCTGAATAAAAATGAGACCCCATCCCTACAAAAAATAGAAAAATTCGCTGGGCTTAGTGGCGTGAGCCTGTAATCCCAGCTACTTGGGAGGGCTGAGGCATGAGGATCATCACTTCAGCCCAGGAGTTTGAGGTTACAGTGATCTACTATTTTGAGGTGGGACATATTGTGAGGTGTGTACAATCAACCCTGGGCCTCAAAGTTAAACTTAACATTGTCTCAAATGATATTATAGATTCATTAAGAAATACACTGAAAGCATTGAAAGAACACATTCATCTTACAGCTTTAAACTTACTTCCCATTCCCAGACCCTATACAGGCTACAGGGCACCATGAATTACTATTTTTTAATAAACCCTATAACTAGCTTATGAATAAGAAACAATTATACTTTTAGTGTGTGAATTAAAGGTATTAATTTGCTAAATCTAAACTCGTAAAATGTACAATTCCCATAATCCTGCTTTGGAATTTTATTCTTTACATCTCAACAAACTATAGAAGCCTTTTCAAGACTTCAAGCTTCTGACAAACAGCAGCACTCTGGCTACAGGGGCAGCCCGGGCAGTCCTCGCTTCATTGCTGGGGGTAGAGGGAGGGAGACGTTGAACAGCTGTAGTCATTCTATTTAGAACTCATGGTAATAAAAGGTACCATTTTCCACCATTTTTATGTTTTCTTTTCATATTTTAACACCTCTGAAGTGAGGATGCCTCTTGTTATTAATAGAAGACAATTATGGAGACTACAATGGAACACCTAAGGGCCAATATTTAAGGGAAGGGTCAGTCAGATGCATTTAGCAACAGTTTCCGTCTGGGAGTCAAAAGTAGGCTAGTTCTACATGATTACTAAGCCAGGTAAAAACTCAGCACCAAGGCCTTTCGTTCTTTTCTCAAGAAATACTAGGCCAGGCACAGTGGGTCACACCTGTAATCCCAGCACTTTGGGAGGCCAAACCAGGAGGATGGCTTGAGGCAAGGAGTTTGAGACTAGCCTGGGCAAAACAGTGAGACCCCCGTCTCTACAAAAATTATTTAGAAAAGTTAGCCAGGCATGGTGGTACACACTTGTAGTCCCAGCTACTCAGGAGGCTGAGGCAGGAGAATCGCTTGAGCCCAGGAGTTGGAAGCTGCAGTGAGCTATGATGATGCCATTGTACTCTAGCCTGGGTGACAGGACAAAACTCTGCCTCAAAAAAGAAAGAAAAGAAAAAGAAATTAATTCAAAAAATAAAAAACATCAAAGAGTGACCAAGGTTTAAAAAGAAAAAAAAAAATAAAAAATAAAAAAAAAATAAAAAACTTAAGCTGGGCATGGTGGTGCACACCCATAGTCCTAGCTACTCAGGAAGCTGAGGTGGGAGGATCACCTGAGCCCAGGTATTCAAAGTTACAGTGAGCTATGAGTGCACCACTGCACTTCAGCCTGGGTGACAGAGCAAGACCCCATCTCTTAAAAAAAAAAAAAAAAAAAAAATCCCAAACCCAAATCACCAATATTCTTGGTGGGCTGAAGAGAGTATGTTGGAAAAACACAGAGACCAATACTGAGTTGAAAGGAGAAAAGTGTAGGCCTCTGAGGAGAAGTTTTAGCCACTCTTATTTCACTTGTTTTTTTTTAAAAGTATGTAGAAGGAGTTATATGACAACAACATAAAAAACCTGTTTAAGTCTAAAAGCTCTTCCCATAATAAAATATAAATTCTAAAATGGTAAGAAAACATTATATCATTCTAATTCTTAAGTTTCTTTTGTTGGTAGAATATGAAATGGGAAGCCTTAAAACCAACGGCCTCTGACACGCACTGCTGGGCGAGAGGAAGTGCCAGGGAGCCCGGCAGCGGCAAAGCCTCCTGGGCTCCACGCACCACCCACCTCACCTCCCTCCCACTTCAAGACTCTTTGTGTTCATCTCCTTCTTTTCCTCAAGTATAGAATGTAGGTTCCTTTCACTCTGCAATACTCTAATGCGTACACTGGTGTCCCCTTTGCCCCATCTGTACACATCACTCACTCTTATAAGTCTCCTAGTTACTTTAATTGTATCTCCTCTTTTCCCCAACCTACGCCCTCGTTACCTGATCAAAATACAGAAGTGAAATATGCATATTGATGATACAGACATACTGAACAGTTTTATTTCTTTGCTCAGAAACTCAAGAAGTTGACATTTCTTGCTCAAAGAAAATTAATACAACAAATTAAGTTGCTCATAATTATGGTACAAATGGATCAGTGGGAGGTGTAATAGGATGAAAAATCAATACCAGGTCTGGGAAAAGGCGAGGAAGTTAACAGCTGAGGACCTACTATATATAAATTAGTAGGTACAAACCATTTAATTTCACTAAACACTAACCAATATTTTTAAGTCCATTTTTAAGTTGTTTTCCTAAGATTACACAGGGAATAAATGACAAAGACAGAATTTGAAAACAGGTAAGTATGATTCTTAAGCCAATGCTTTTTTCCAGTATTTCAGAAGTTGAAAAATAAAAAATTTATAATGGAGTACTTAACAATTATAAAACACAAATACACACAAATATACAATGTGTTTTTAAGTTACCTGCCCGGATAACATATTTGTGGAGGACAACGGTACAACAGTCTTCTCTAAAGTTTCAGGTAAAGAGTGATACGTGTCCTTCTCCTCTAGTTTCCAGTAAGTCAGTCCTAACGTGCACAAATACACAGAATAGAAAAATGTGAAGAAAGAACAAAGGCAGAAACTGGTTTTTGGCTATCTGGTTAAAGCAAGTTGAATTTTGATGGGAAAACGGTCACATTAATGCTTTACCATATAAGAGTCCTAACCTGATACTAATATTTAAAGCTGAAATATTATTAAAAGTCAAGATGAATTAGCACAACTTAAAATATATTTTAAAATAGATAATTTCTTTATGAATAGTACAGACATATGGAATCAATGTAAAGAATTCAATAATTCAAATGTTTACTGAGCACCTATAGTGCCAGGCTAGGGAGGTAGGAGGAATAAGAAATGAATAACAAGTAAATTACACCCTATATACAGTACATGAGAAGGTGGTAAGGCACTCTGATAAAATTCTAAAATAGGATTAAGGGCGTTTTGTAGTTGGGGAAGGCCAGACACTATTTTCAAATAGGCTGATCAGGGTTGGCTCATTGAGAGTATAATAATTAAGAGAGTTAGCCATTTTAGCCAAATATGAGGACATTCCCCTATAAGGAGGAGGGGGAAACATTTCAAAGAGAGGAAGCAGCCAATGCAAAAGTCCTAAGAACACATGTGGCATATTTGAGCAAACAGCCTCCTGCCCTAGCACAGAAAGGGAGAATACAGATGGACCCTGACCTATGATAGTTCAATTTACAAATTTTTGACTTTACAATGGTGCAAAAGCAATAGGCATTGAGTAGAAAATGTATCCATTTGTTAAGTACCCATGCAACCATTCTGTTTTTCACTTTCAGTACAGTATTCAATAAATTATATAAAATATTCAACACATAAATAGGCTTTACATTTGATGATTTTTACCAAATGTAGGCTAATGTAAATGTTCCGAGCACTCTTAAGGCCACATGAAGCTATGATGTTTGGCAGCATGGTATACTAAATGCATTTTCGACATCATATTTTCAACGTCCCATATTTATCAGGACATAATCCCGTCGTAAATCAAGGAGCATCTGTAGGTCAAAGAGGTATCAGGGCTGGACCAGCTGGGCCTCGAGGGTCTCTGTAAGGACTCTGGCTGTTATTCTGAGGGACACAGGCAGCCATTACAGAGTTCAGAGCAGAAGAGTCACATGATCTGACTTCTCTTTTAAAAGGATCACTTTGGCTACTATGTTGAGAACAGACTGAAGGGTAAGGGTGGAAGCAGGGAGGCTGCTTAGGAAGCTTACAGCCACCCAAGTGACAAATGAGGGGGACATCATTAGGGTGGTAGCGTGGAGGTGGTGAGAAGTGGTTGGATTCTGGAAATTTTTGCAAGGCAAAGCTGATTCATCCTGATGAACTGGATATGGAATATGGAAAAAAAAGGAGTCAGTATATAAAGCCATTAAGACTAGAATAAGCTCACCCTGGCATGTAAAAAGTGGCTCACGGAGGTTTTGAATTTGTTAATTCATTTTGGAGCACCTGAAAAAGGCTAAGATGATGTTTGCAGCTATTTGAGATAATTGTAAAAGTACTTCATTCTATCTTTACAGAACTTGCAACAAATTAAGAAAGTTAGAGCTACCAGAGGAACACCATAACACATAAAACACTTAGAAAACCACAATATATTGTATCTAATTATCACCCAATGATGAGAAATGTAGACAAGTTGTTTAAAAAAAAAAAACTGTTTAAAAACGTAAGTACCATACCTGTTCCTGAATCAGACATCCAAGAATTTGGAGTTTCATCTGGTTTACTGAGATAAAAACCACAAGGATGTGGAGCAGCAGCAGCAAAATCAGTCTACAATTCAAGAAAGAAAACTATTGGTTGACAGCTAAAAATCATTAGGCACAAATTGCTGACCCAAGAGGCAGGCATCAAACCCAGACAGAAACCTTCAGAGGGTTCATGAAGAAACAGGAAAGCCTGCTTTCCCCATGGTTATAAGAATGCAAAATGATAGGAATTAACAGTGAAGGATATTCTTTTCCTATATAATATAATTTACAAAAGTTTACTTTTTGTAAGTTATTTTCTCTGTGGTGCTAGAAGGAGAAAATTGGGGGCAAGTGTTATATAATGAGTTCAGATCTAAAATGTACTTATAATTTGTCACCTACTTACAAAAAAACTTGAGGTGCATAGAATTAAAGTCATTTAGTATTAAAGTTCATATAAAAGCCATGAAAATTCATTTTTATAATTACAATTATTAGTATAAGTCAAATTAACTTTAAAAACCACAAATGAGCAATATAAACTTAAAATATTAGACTACTTATATACAAACAATTGGTTATTAGTCCCAGAAAAGGTTAAAAATGCCTACTTATCAATTCTAATAAAAATTCTGAGCAAATCTCTCCCCACAATATCTCTGACATTGTCACAAGAAATGTATTTACAGGCCAGGTGTGGTGGCTCACGCCTGTAATCCTAGCACTTTGGAAAGCCAACGGTGGGGGAGGATTGCTCAAGTCAGGAGTTCAAAACCAGCCTGAGCAAGATCGAAACCCCGTTTCTACTAAAAACAGAAAACAATTAATTGGCCAACTAAAAATATATGGAAAAAATTAGCCAGGCATGGTGGTGCATGCCTGTAGTCCCAGCCACTTGGGAGGCTGAGGCAGTAGGATTGCTTGAGCCCAGGAGTTGGAGGTTGCTGTGAGCTAGGCTGATGCCATAGCACTCTAGCCTGGGCAATAGAGTGAGACTCTGTCTCAAAAAAGAAAAAAGAAAAAAAATATTATTAATATATACACATACACATACATATGGGTGTGTGTGTGTATGTATGTATGTGTGTGTGTGTGTGTATATATATATATGTTCTATTTGCTTACAACCATCACAAACCCACTGTAAAAGTAAGAACACACTGAGAGGTAAAATTCTACCTGCCAAGAACAGGGATTAATCCATCAGCCATATAAGGTACCACTTAGCCTCTTTTACATTGAGAGAAATTCCTAAGCCATTTTTTGTCTCTTATAAAACTCCTACCTGTTTGAAGTTTCTGTCTCAGTACTTAAGGCTGATAAAGATGACTGGAGCAGTCTAAGTCAAATAATCCCAAATGAAGTATTTTATCCTAGTCCCAATTCTGAGTGCAATTCCATGCTCTTGGCCGACACACACAGTGGCCTGGGCACTTATCTACAGAGCTGCGTGCTGCGCTCTTCTGGGCAACAAGGCATCCACTGAAGAAACAGGCCTAGCTTTTAATGAAAAATAAAAGTAGGTGCAGTGAAAAGCCTTTCTAAATGTAAACTCTCCAAGAAGCTGACCTAGCCTAACAAAGGACCTCACTAGTTCAATTACTAGTCCATCTGAAAAACTCCACAAAATCCTTCAGCCTGTGAAATGAAAAAGTCAAGTCCGTCCAAGACAAAGGTCAAAGAAACAAGAACTACTTGAGCTTTCGAAAACCCTTTTGCTAAACAATGTACAATTCAAGATGTACTTCAAAGTACCTATTAACCAAAATAATATTAATACCAATGTGTAAAGAAAATATCAGAAGAGAATTCTGATGATAAGCATTCCTTGATTTACAAAGAAACTAAAACAATAAAAAAATGAGCAAATAAAGAGGAAGTTCCAACTTTTGTAAATCCAGAATTATGGAGCAAATGCATTTCAGGAGTGCGGTGGATTCACCAACCACCACAAGCACAAAATCATTTAAAGTCAAATATATCAAACAAATTTGATTTTCCCTAATGACTTAATAGCATATATTACTCACCTAAAAAAGGGAAAAATAAAGCTTGTGCAAGAGATGATCAATAAAGAGAAGACTCAGAGGGAATCACTGCCTGCTCAGAGCCTCTACCTACACCTACTAGTCATGCAAGGTTCTACTGTAGAAGGCTATTTCTCAGGCCCACCTGAGGGAGAAAATCAGGCTAGGCCAGCAGTTCCCAAACTTTACTGCACATCAATCACCTGAGGAGGGTTTAAAACTCGTGATGCACAGATCATGCCCCACAGTGAAGAAGTCAGAACACCTGGGATCAGCAGTCAGGGATAAGTATTTTTAAGTCTCCTCGGGTGATCTACATTAATACTGCAAAGTTCAGGAACCCTGGGCTGCATTAAATATATATTGAGTTACAAACAAACAAAAGATAGCAAGAAAAACAGTGAATCCACCAAGACATAACCACAAACTAATTTATCAGAAGTGGAAAAGTCACCATAGAGTTTCAGTTTTAACTTAAATTTAAAAAAACAGAAGAAAAAACTACATGTATGAAAACATTCTCCCTTTAAGCCAACCTGTTCCAATGAAAAAAAGCATTTTGCCTAGTCTTCCAAATGTTTCATGTATCGTAACAAAAAAGGATACAATCCTTGATGGCATGTAGGGTCAAAACAGTACAATACCAACACAGTAAACCAAGGCCTTTGTAGAACAGAACTCCGTCATGGTACTAAAGGCCTCCACAGAAGCTTTTTGTTCCTGCAGCTTTATTTTTATCTTCACCCTCCTCCTCCTCAACACAAACCTGAGAAAGTTCAAAAATGGCACTATTAGGAAGCCTAAATATCATGAATTGAAGAAAGAATTTATTGACATAAAAGATAAATAGTGCTTATGAAGGCTGAGGGCAATCTCTTATGACTTCTTTAATAAATCTTTTTCAAGGATGATGGAAAGACAATGTTTAGATGATCAAGATATGATCAATTTCTAAAGGTATCTGGTTTGTAGAGAGATTAGATTTTGCAATTTCAACATATATGTTAAACATGCTAATCTTGGACAATATAAGGCCAGTAAGTGTATAAATATGTATTAAAACTTAATTAAATTTCTTACAATTTGGATTATAAATTCAGAATTGTCTAAATTTCAACTTTTCATTTTTTTTTTTTTGAGACAGAGTCTTCTCTGTCACCCAGGCTACAGTGCCGTGGGGTTAGCATAGCTCACAGCAACCTCAAACTCCTGGGCTCAAGTGATCCTCCTGTCTCAGCCTCCTGAGTAGCTGAGACTACTGGAAGCACCACCATGCCCAGCTAATTTTTTCTATTTTTAGTAGAGATGGGGTCTCACTCTTGCTCAGGCTGGTCTCAAACTCCTGGCCTCAAGTGATCATCCTGCCTCAGCCTCTCAGAGTGCTGGGATCGTGAGCCTCCCAGACGTGAGCCACTTCACCTGGACTATACTTTTTTTTTTTATAAAGGCTTCTTAAAGTATTCAATACATAAGTATACTTCTTACAACCTGATAGTAATATAAATTATTTGAAGGTTTCTTAAAAACAATTAAATGGATTATATTTCTGGCAATGTAAACATGTGCAGTACAAAGAAAGGAGGACTTTATAAATGATTCATTTTCACAGTATTTTATCCATCATTAGCTTTGATTTCCAGCTTACTAAAGAAGCAATACTCAAGGCTGGGCGCGGTGGCTCACGCCTGTAATCCTAGCTCTTCTGGGAGGCCGAACGGGTGGATTGGCTCGAGGTCAGGAGTTCGAAAACCAGGCTGAGCAAGAGGTGAGACCCGTCTCTACTATAAATAGAAAGAATTAATTGGCCAACTAATATGTATAGAAAAATTAGCTGGGCATGGCAGCGGCATGCCTGTAGTCCCAGCTACTTGGGAGGGCTTGAGGCAGTAGGATCACTTGAGCCCAGGAGATTGAGGTTGCTGTGAGCTAGGCTGATACCATGCGCACTCACCTCTAGCCTGGCAACAAAGTGAGACTCTGTCTCAAAAAAAAAAAAAAAAAAAAAGAAGCAATACTCATAGCAAATCATTATTTGCAATCCTATCAGCACCAAGAGAAAGATTTGTAAAATGAACAATTAACAATACAAAGAAAGGGAAAAATATTGTTGATAAACATGTAGTAAGCCCAGCTCAATCACCGGTAGAGGAAAGCATGCCAGAAGAAAGTGACTGATCACCTACTCTTCTCTCAGTTGGTGGTTTCTTGCTTTGCTCATTTCCTGGCTTAGATCTTGAACATTCGTCTTCTGCATGTGCTCGTCTTTGGTTGGTCTGCTTCAGCTTTTGTGCCATGATGTTACAGATTTCTATTTAAAAGAAAAATCAAATTTCAATGCTGTCATTACCATATAAAGCTAAACACTAATAGCTACTGTGTCAGAAGAAAATGGTTTGAATTTTTTTTTAGTGAAAAGATGATGGATTTTTATTATTAAATAATTCACTTTCTTTTTTCAATTTCTTACTATCAAAGGCAAAGTAAACAAAAAGACTATTCAAGACCAGCCTAGGCAACATCTCTACAAAAAATGTTGAAGGCCTGGTGTGGTGGCTCACGCCTGTAATCCTAGCACCCTGGGAGGCTGAGGCAGGCTGATCGTTTGAGCTCAGGAGTTCGAGATCAGCCTGAGCAAGAGCAAGACCCTGTCTCTATTAAAAATAGAAATTAGCTGGACAACTAAAATATATATGCATATATAAAAAAAAATTAGCTGGGCATAGTGGCGCATGCCTGTAGTCCCAGCTACTTGGGAGGCTGAGGCAGGAGGATCACTTGAACTTTCTTTGAGCTAGACTGATGCCACGGCACTCTAGCCCAGGCAACAGAGTTAGACTCTGTTTTAAAAAAAAAAAAAAAAAAAAAATTTTTAAAAATGAGCCTGGCGTGGTGGGTGCATGCCTATAGTCCAATGGGTGCCTAAGGTGAGAGGATCACTTGAGCTCAGGAGTTCAAGGCTGTGGTGAGCTGTGATGGCACCACTGCACTCCAACCTGGGAGACAGAGTGAGACTGTCTCTAAAAAATAAAATAAAAAAATAAATAGACTAACAGTAATTAACAATACATGGCATTTGTAGCTATAAAACAAAAACCACCACATTTATATCCCCCCATATGCTAAAACTCTCTCTATAGTAAAAGCATATTTATTAGCATATTTATATTTAAATTTTTTTTTTTTTTTTTTTTTTTGAGAGAGAGTCTCACTTTATTGCCCAGGCTAGAGTGAGGTGCCGTAGCGTCAGTCTAGCTCACAGCAACCTCAAACTCTGGGCTCAAGCAATCCCCTGCCTCAGCCTCCCAAGTAGCTTGGACTACAGGCATGCGCCACCGATGCGCGGGGTATTTTTTTTTTTTGTAGTATATATATATTGTTGGCCAATTATTTCTTTCTATTATAGTAGAGACGGGTCTCCTCTTGCTCAGGCTGGTTTCGAACTCCTGACCTCGAGCAATCCGCCCGCCTCGCCTCCCAGAGAGCTAGGATTACAGCGGTGAGCCACCACACCCGGCCAGCATATTTATTTAACATTTTGAAATAAGATTTGTGTTGCTATATAGCTAAATACCTTACTTTAGATGATACATTTCAGAGACATAAAACTGAAAAATTAGAATAAACTACAAAATTTTATAAGATTATTTGTCTTACAAACATTCAGCCAGTTTACTAAAAAGTCTCCCAAGTCATCAAAATGTCATTAAACTTACAAAAATTCTTCTTATATATAAAAAACATAAAATTGAGTATGCCTGTATATAATTTTTTTTTTTTTTTTTTTTTTGAGACAGAGTCTCGCTTGTTGCCCGGCTAGAGTGAGTGCCATGGCATCAGCCTAGCTCACAGCAACCTCAAACTCCTTGGGCTCAAGCAATCCTTCTGCCTCATCCTCCGAGTAGCTGGGACTACAGGCATGCGCCACCATGCCCGGCTAATTTTTTCTATATATATTAGTTGGCCAATTAATTTCTTTCTATTTATAGTAGAGCGAGGTCTCGCTCTTGCTCAGGCTGGTTTCGAACTCCTGACCTTGAGCAATCCGCCCGTCTCGGCCTCCCAGAGAGCTAGGATTACAGGCGTGAGCCACCGGCCCGCCTTGTATATAATTTTTGGTTACAAATCACATGACGTGGGCCGGGCGTGGTGGCTCACGCCTGTAATCCTAGCACTTTGGGAGGCCGAGGCGGGCGGATTGCTCAAGGTCTGGAGTTCGAAACCAGCCTGAGCGAGACCCGTCTCTACAAAAATAGAAATAAATTAATTGACGAACTAAAAATATATATACAAAAAATTAGCCGGCATAGTGGTGCATGCCTGTAGTCCCAGCTACTCGGGAGGCTGAGGCAGTAGGATCGCTGAGCCCGGAGATTGAGGTTGCTGTGAGCCAGGCTGACGCCACGGCACTCACTCTAGCCTGGGCAACAAAGTGAGACTCTGTCTCAAAAAAAAAAAAAAAAAAAAAAAAATCACATGACGTGTGTGACAAAATTGCACTATTGATACAGTCCTGTCCTCTAACTTTTGGCAGGTTTATAATGACTAGAAAGTAAAGGCATTTTTCCGGCAAGACTTCCTTTAAGAGTTTAGTAGTCTTGGCCAGGCGCGGTGGCTCGTGCCTGTAATCCTAGCACTCTGGGAGGCCGAGGCAGGTGGATCACTCAAGGTCAGGAGTTCGAAACCAGCCTGAGCGAGACCCTGTGTCTACTAAAAATAAAAAGAAACTAAAAAAAAAAAAATAAAAAAATAAAAAGAAACTAATTGACCAACTAAAAATATATATACAAAAAATGAGCCGGGCATGGTGGCACATGCCTATAGTCCCAGCTACTCGGGAGGCTGAGGCAGCAGGATAGCTTGAGCCCAGGAGACTGAGGTTGCTGTGAGCTAGGCTGATGCCACGGCACTCACTCTGGCCTGAGCAACAAAGTAAGACTCTATCTCAAAAAAAAAAAAAGAGTTTAGTAGTCTTATAACATTGCTAATGGGAAGAAAGTCATTTGTCCCTAGTATATAGTGTGCTTTGTTTATTTTGATTTTCTACATGCAACAAATAAAATACTTTTTTTTTGAGGCAGGTCTCACTGTACTGTCCCAGAGTGGTCTCGAACTCCTGGGCGTCAGTAATCCTCCTGCCCCAGGCTCCGAGTAGCTGGGACTACAAGAGCATGCCACTATGTCCCACAAAAGACTTTGATTTTTTTTTTCTTTTTTTCTGGTAGAGATGAAGGGAGGGGTTCACCACATTGCTACTGTGCCTGGCCAAGACTTGGATTTGACAGTAAAACTGATAAATGTTCAAATACATCTCATCCTATTCTAGTCCAACTAAAAAGAACTCTATTTACTAGATTATAAATGTCATAAACAGGCCAGGCACAGTAGCTCACACCTGTAATCCTAGCACTTTAGAAACCCAGGCATTTGAGGCTGCAGTGAGCTATGATAGCACCACTGCACTCTAACCCAGACAACAGAGCAGAAAAACTGTCTCAAAAACAAAACCAAAAAAAACAGGTAATAAACAAATAAAACTCCCTTCAATGGAGAAATTCTACTTACCTATTTGTTTTTCCACTGTATACTTCAGAAATCTTATTTTCACCAAGAAAATTATGTTCAAATTCACCAGGAAAAATGGAAATATCTTCCTTTAAAGATGCACCAAACTCTTCAGTAGTCTGTATATAAAAACCCTTGTTTTTCACACTGTCTACCAGCGAATCAGACTGAACCACAGGTGCTACGTACTGTCCTTTAGAAACGTCTGTGTGCTCCATGAACTCTTTAGGGTCTTTAAGTTTGTATGTATTTAACTCTGAGACACAAAAAGTACCATACCCACTGCTCACTGAGCTACTGTCCATGTTACAGTCTGGTTGTGATGAGGACGTTTCTTGATGCATTTCAGTTTCTTTAGATTTAGGGTAACTGATAACAGATTCATTTCTCTCACTGTTTTCAGAAAAAAAACCCATTTGACTTTCTGATGATACTTGTTTGCATGAAGAACTTCTATCATAGGAAGCCCAAGAAGTATCACTCGTCTGTAATTTGACTAAATTTTTTATCTCCTCTTGTATACGCTGGAAATAAAAAGTTATAGATTTGGATAAGAAAGTATATTATTAAATTATCACATTTTCATAAATGTTATGAAAATGTTTCAAAATATGACAAAATATTACTCTGATAGATATTATGCTTTATCTTTAGTTTCTAAACAAAATAGATATAATGTATTAATTGGTTTTTCTGCAAATCTTACAAATATAAAAAAACAAATCAAAGTAAATGACAACTTACTTGAATTTGGTTGTGGAACTGTTCCTGCTGGGCAACTATCTGTTCTTGGCATTGTTTTTCGACCAAATTGAATAGTTGTAACCACCTGGTCTATTAAATTATAAAATATCTTAGTTAAAAATAATTTTTAATTTACTATTTCATAGAAAAACTCCTCCAGTGAAAAAGGGCCCCTTCGTATTTTTAAATGTAAAATTTATAAGCCAGATTAAACAAATAGTCATAAAAATATATTTAATGCAAAATATCCAAGGACATAGGCTTAGGTACCTCTCTCTTATGTAACCTGTGATCTGGGTACACCTTATTTTTCAAATGGAATCTTAATTTGATGTCATCTGCTATCATATCTGATTAATCAAGAACTGGTAGTTACACTTTATATTTGTCTTAAGTTCCTCATTCCTTTCCTCAAAACAGCTAATGATTTTCTTGAACACTAACATGTACCCAGAAAAAGTATCCTACATCCTAAAATAAGAAATGGTTTGGTATTATAAGAATTTAACCCCTAATTTATTTGTCAAATATAAGACCCTTTTAACATCAGATATTGAAGTGTTTCAAAGCAATGCAGAGCTGGGGAAAAAAAGGAATGAAAAAGTGACTTAGAAAACCAATGGAATAACACTTATTGGGTGTTGGGGGGGAGGAGGGGGGGAGTATATAAAACCACCATGAGTAAGATGTGCAACATTTGGGGGATGGACATGCTTGAAGCTCTTACTCGAGGGGGGAGAGGGACTTGGGCAATATAAGTAACCTTAACACTTGTACCCCCATAATACACTAAAAAAAAAAAATCAAAGGGGAGATTTAGGGTGGTTGGAGAGGTGACAGGCTGAAATTGTCAGATGGGAAGACAGTAGTCACGTCAGGTGCGGGAAAGCTTTCCAGGTAGAGGGCAGGGCAAGTACCTCTCCCCCTTGTGAGGTGGAGACAGTTCTGGCATGCTCAAGGAACAGAGAGAGCCCACGGGGCAGACGGATTGACAAGCAAGGGACAGAGGGGCGGGGTAAGTTGAGGTGTGTAGGAGCCAAATAGTGCAGAGTCCTGTAAAGAAGGATTAGGAGTGGAAAGACATTGAAAGGTTTTAAACAGGGAAGCTAGTTTTCATGGTAGCTACTTAATGATATTGGGTATTATTGCATACAGTCTGTTACTGAAAGGATACCAGCCTTGAGATGAATTTATCCTTCTGGAGAGCTTCAGGCCCCTCTCTTGCCATGTTTTGGCATAGTTTAGTTAGGACAGTACTCTTTTTTTTTTTTTTTTTTTTTGAGACAGAGTCTTGCTTTGTTGCCCAGGCAACAAAGAGTGAGTGCCGTCATGTCAGCCTAACTCACAGCAACCTCAAACTCCTGGGTTCAAGCAATTCTCCTGCCTCAGCCTCCCCAGTAGATGGGACTACAAGCATGTGCCACCATGCCCGGCTAATTTTTTCTATATATATTAGTTGGCCACTTAATTTCTTTCTATTTATAGTAGAGATGGGGTCTCACTCTTGCTCAGGCTGGTTTAGAACTCCTGACCTCAAGTAATCCACCAGCCTTGGCCTCCCAGAGTGCTAGGATTACAGGCGTGAGCCACTGAGCCCGGCCGACAGTGCTCTTTGAGTCAGGGTGGACCGTGACCTAAAACGGGGCTGTGAAGGGAGTTACAGGCCAGTTCCATTGGTTTTCTTTCTTTTTTTTTTTTTCC